GAAGAAGCTGAGCTTTGGGTCTGATCAGTGCTGCTCTGGGCAGCAAAGACAAAAGCCCCCAGCTTACCACACCTTTTATTCAGTACCTCGTAACAAATGACTTGCAGAGAATTCAGTAGTTCACATTGGGATAAACAAGGTGTAACAAAAGGCTTGCGGAGAGTTCAGTACATTGCGGGTAAACAAGATGTTAACAGTCCAAGAACAACGAGGAACTGAGCAGATGTTTGTTCTCCCAGGATGTTTCTTGTCCTGGAGAATCACAGCATCACTGGATCACTGAAGTCTCAGTTGTGACCAGAGGCCAAACTGGAGTTACTCTGTAGCTGGGTTGTAGGCAAGAGAACTAGGCTAACCAAATGATTTTTCCTTAGAATTATGTAGCATTGCTCCCAGCACTCTAGAAGGTCATAACATTAGGATCATGCAGTATGTAGCCTTTTTTAGACTGGTTATTTTCACTTAGCAATATGCATTTAAGCTTCCTCTGTATCATTTCATGCCTTGATACTTCATTCTTTTTATTGCTGAACAAGATTCCATTTATAGGAGTACTGCAGTTTATTTATACATTCACTGATTCAAGGGCATTTTTGCTGTTTCCAGTTTTTGGTGACTAAAAATAAGGCTAGTATAAACATTTGGAAACAGGCTTTGTGTAGACATAAATTTTCAATTCAGTTGAGTAAATACCTAGTAGTAGTACAATTTTTTTTGTTGTTGTTTTTTGGTACTGGGAATCAAACTCAGACCCTTGTGCTTGCGAGGCAGGCGGAGGTACCACTGAGCTAAATCCCTGGCCCCCTCATAGTGCAATTTCTGAATCATATGGTAGGATTGATTAGCTTTGTAAGAAACTGCTTGATGTTTCTTAGACATATTTGTGTATTCTCACCAGTAATAGGTGAGAGTTTCTTTGGCTGTACATCCTTGGCAGTATTTGATATTGTCAGTTTTTTGGATTTTAGCTATTCTAAAATAGGCATAGAATGGTATCTCTTTTTTGTTTTAGTTTGTAATTTCTTAATAACATTTCCTAACGTGAAATGTTTTCACATGCTTATTTATCATCTTTGGTGAGGCATTTGATCAGCTATTTTGACAGTTTTTTAATTGGGCTGTTTTCTTATTGAGTTCTTTGTGTAATTTGAATACAAGTCTTTAAATCAGATGTGTTTTGAAAATACTGTATTTTATTTCACTCTGGGGCCTGTCTTTTCATTGTCTTAGTGTAGTATCTTCTGCAGAACAGTTAATTTTGATAAAACTCAGTGTATCAATTTTTGTGTCATGGATTGTTGCCTCCGGTATTGTATCTAAAAACCCGTTTAGGTCTGGGGATTTAGGTCAGTGGCACTGTGCTAGCCTTGCAAGTGCAAGGTCCTGAGTTTGATCCCCAGTGCGGCAAAAAACCCCAAAACCAAAAAACCCATTTATTCATTTTGGTTTTGGGGTCAGGACATTAAACAGTCTCTTCTAGAAACTTCCAGTTTTAGCCTGTTTTCGATTTACGACATTTTGCTTATGTTCTGATAGGTAGGACCCTGGTCTTTACACTTTGTAGTTGAAGCCTGTGCTCGGAACCTTTAAATTAGGTGCAGTGAAGCTCCTGCCTGAGGAGTGTGATTGTGACCCACTGAAGACTCGACATGTTTAAGTACACCTTTGTATGTCTCCAGGATGAACTACAGGAAAAAGGGGTGGAGTGTCCTGAGATCATGAGGTCATAGAATTTTATTTGTTCATTAATATGGATGAATACTTTGGCAGTTGAAATGGGAAAAAAGGGTGGATATAAGGAAGGAAATAGCAGGGTTTGAAATTAAAGTTAGTGTGTGAAGGGAGTGATAGGCATGTTAGTTATCTGTAGATTATGTGGCTAAGAAAGGGCACAGTGCCAGAAGTCAAATGGAAGGAAGTAGAGAGATGTGCTTGCATTGCTGAAAGTGTTGATCTTCAAAGTCATATCAGAATGACAAAGGCGTATTATTTATTTGTGGTAGTAGGGTTAGATCCTTGTTGAAACCATTAAAAGCATAAATTACAAAAATGGAGCTATTAGTACATAATAGTCTTACTTTATGTACCAAAAAAAAGAAGAGGAAGAGGAGGAGGAGACAGAGGGAGGAGGAGGGGGAAGATTGGTAAATAAATACTTAGGGTTTGTGTTTTATTTTGGCACTGGGAATCAAACTCAGGACCTTTCGCTTTCCAGGCAGGTGCTGCACTGCTGAGCTATATTCCCGGCCCACTTAGGGGATATTTTGATTTTCTTTTCAGTACTTTGCTGCACAGTTCCAGTATCTTCAGCAACTCCAGCTCCTCTTCTTTCTCCTCCTCCTTTTTTTTTTCTTTGGTACTAGGGATCGAACTTGGGTCCTTGCATTTGCGCAGCAGGCTGCGAAACCACTGAGCTAAAAACCCTGCTGCTGCTCCTGCTCTTGCTCTTGCTCCTGCTCTTGCTCTTGCTCCTGCTCCTGCTCCTCCTGCTCCTCCTCCTCCTCTTCCTCTTCTTCCTCTTCTTCCTCCTTTTCCTCTTCCTTGTTTTTCTTTTAGTGGATTTAAGGCTGGGCTGGTTAAGGTCTCACTAGCTACATTGAAATCATATGCAACTTTGTTTCATTTTTTTATGGTGCTGGGGAAAAAAGTCAGTATTGATGATTTTCTGGACTTCTGGAGGATCCGTTGTTGCCCTTTTCATTCCTAGTTGCATGGATTTGAGTCTTTCCCTTTTTTTGATAAGGTTGGCTAAGGGTTTTTGTATTTTATTCAGTCTTTCAAAGAACCAGCTCTTTTTTTTTTCTTTTGGTACTGGGGATTGAAAGAAACCAATTCTTTAATTCATTGGTTCTTTGTATTTTTTCTTAGTCTCAATTGCATGCATTTCTCTTTGATCTTTATAATTTCCTCCCTCATACATGCTTTGGGTTTAACTTGCTCTTCTTTTTCTAGAAGCTTGAGGTTCAACATTAGGTTACTTATTTGGGCTCACTGTGTTTTTCTGATGTGGGAATTCACCACTATAAAGTTCCTTTGTAGGATTGCTTTCATTGCATCCTGTAAGTTCTGGTATGTCGTATTGGCATTATGGTTTAATTGTAGAAACTTTCTAATTTTTTCTTTTAATTTCATCTGTGACCCATTGGCTTTTCAGGAGGGTGTTTTTTAATTCTATAGGTGTATGTAGTTTTTGTGGTTTCTTTTGCCATTGATTTCTAATTTCATTGCACTGTGATCTGATAATATGCATGGAATAATTTCAGTTCTTTTGCATTTACTTAAGCATGTTTTATGGGCTATTATGTGATCTGTTTTGGAGAAAGTCCTGTGTACAGCTGTTGTTGTGTGAACCACTTTGTAGATATTTACTAAGTCCATTTGTTCAGAGATTTCATTCAGCTCTGTTATTTCTTTGTTGATTTTTTTTTGTCTAGTTGATCTGTTTATGACAGTGGGGTATTGAGGTCCCACATTATGATTGTCTGATTATTCATATGCATTTTGTTTGTTTTATATAGTTGGGTACACCAGTATCTGATGAATATATATTTATGATTGTTATCTCTTCCTCTTGGATTATTCCCTCAATAAGTATGTAGTGACCATCTTTGTTTCTCCTGATCAGTCTTGGCTTGAAATCCACTTTGTCTGCAAATAAAATAGCTACCCTTGCGTTTTCCAGGTTTCTGTTGCATGGAGTATTGTCCCGTCACCCCCCCCCCCCCCCCCCCCCCCCCCCGCCCTTTTTGATACCAGGGATCAAACTCAGGACCTTGTACTTGTGAGGCAGGTGGCAGCACCACTGAGCTAAATCCCTGGCCCTGTTTTCTACTCTTTAACTTTCAGTTTATGAATTTCTCTTTGAGTTAAATGTGTTTGTTATATACAGCATATTGTTGGATCTTGTTTCTTGATCCATTCTGCCAATCTGGTTCTTTTGATCGGTGAATTGAGACCATTCACACTGATGGTTATCACTGATATGTACTGACTTATCCTTGTCATGTAATTTTCCTGTTTTTGGTCCCTTTCTTTCCCTTCTGTTTAATTGCATGCTTTTCCTGGTGGATTCATCCACTGGGATTCATGGAATTGTTGTCTTTGTTATCTTTTTCTAGAATATCCTTTGAAACTTTTTGGAGTGCTGGTTTGGTGGTCATGAATTTCTTCAGATATTCTTTATCGTGGAAGTATCTTATTTCTCCATCAATTTTGAAAGATAATTTTGCAGGGTCATCAGTCTGGGTTGGAGGTTTTCTCTTAGGGCTTGAAATACTTCACTCCAAGCTCTTCTTAACTTAGTAAGGGTTTGTGTTGAGAAGTCTGCTGTGATTCTGATGGTTTTCCTTTATAGGTAATTTGTTTCTTTTCCCTAGTAGCTTTTAATATTCTGTTCGTGTGTTGAATTTCAGGAATCTCGACTATTATATGCCTTGGTGTAGTTATTTTATGATCATTGCTATTTGGAGTTCTGTATGCCTCACTTATGTGTATAAAATCAAAATCATTTTCCATGCTTGGGAAGTTCTCTGCTATTCTGTGAACAGATTTTTTTTTTCCATTCATAAAACTTTTATTCCACTTACATGAACTTAATACATATATTCTTAACAATTATGCTTGGATTGTTCATGAAAATTTCTTAAGACATTAAACAAAGCTAGCCATCATCTCAAGTTATTTCCCTGTTAACTATTTTTACAGCACATGCATGTTAGACAAGTATCAAAAAAAAAACAACCTAAAAAAAGTTAAATACATGGGTTTTTTTGTTTACTGCTATGCTTGATATACATGAAATAATGAATACGAAGCAATTCATTTTTACTGCATCTTTATTTTTACATTTGTTCTTAGGTTGCCTAAAACATTTAAACACAAATAAAATGTGTAGCAAAAATAATGAAAGCAAACAGCAGGTAACTTTACAAATAATGGAATGTGAACCATTTCTGCCCTTATCCAGAGTAAATGGGTGCCAACTTTGTCTAAAGGAGCACCCCCGCAGCTGCAGTCACAGGTGTGCGCGCTCAGACTGCTCACTCCCCAGAAACACAAGCCTCCATACACGGAAGACCCATGGGCTATCTGTTTCTACCACAGCCTCAGAGGTGCTCCAAACCTTAAAGTACCCACAATAACTACACCTGTGTCTGGAACCAATGATCCGTTTTATTCCCCACCAGGACAGACCAATATGTAGGCAGTTTTCTTTGCTTAGACATGGAAGCAGTTTTAACACTGGCCCTTGTGAAGCCTCAGTGTACCAAAAGTACTATGGCAAACATTTGTAACTTGTATAAAAATTCCACTTCCCCATATTGGCCATCTCAAGATGAAAACAGATAACTCCCTAAATATCAACTGGCTCTACTCCCGTAATATTAAACATAAAAACCACATGGGAAATATAGAAATTCAAATAGAAGTAGCATAAACCTGTCATAGACCGTAAACAAAAAACTATTTGTGGGACAGTATAGATGACAGATGGTCTACTGTGTAAATTTTAGAATGAGGCAGACAAAAGTTGGAAGGCCAGTTAATTTTCCCCTCCTCCTTCTTCAGCTTCATCTCCTTGGATATCCGATGTCCACAGTGTCAAGTTGTCTCTCAGTAATTGCATTATTAGCGTGGTGTCCTTGTATAACTCTTCACTTAATGTGTCAAGTTCAGCAGTGGCTTCATCAAAAGCTGTCTTTGCCAGAGAACAGGCCTTTTCTGGAGAGTTCAGAATCTCGTAATAGAAGATGGAGAAGTTAAGGGCCAGACCCAATCTGATAGGATGCGTTGGTTGCATTTCCTTTTTGCTGATTTCAAAAGCTTCTTGGTATGCTTGTTGTGATTGGTCCACAGTCCCTTTCTTGTCATCACCAGCAGCAGCCTCAGCCAAGTAACGGTAGTCGTCTTTCATTTTCAAATAAAAGACTTTGCTCTCTGCTTGTGAAGCATTGGGGATTAAGAACTTTTCCAAAAGAGACAGTACATCATTGCAGATATCCCTTAGCTCAGTCTCAATTTTCTCTCTGTATTCTCGAGCCATCTGCTGCTTTTTCTGAGCACCTTCCATCTTTTGCTTGATACTTGAGACAACCCTCCAAGATGACCTATGGGCTCCTACAACATTTTTATAAGCAATGGAGAGAAGATTCCTCTCCTCACTAGATAATTCAGCACCTTGCTCAGTTACAGACTTCATGCAGGCTGCCGTGTCATCATATCGCTCAACCTGCTTGGCCAGTTTGGTCTTCTGCACCAGCTTGTTGTTATCCATGCCTGGATGTTCTGTGTCCTGGGTGGGTGGCGGCGGATGGACAGGCGAAGTGGTCTCTGGGCAGTGGCGGCGAGGCTGAGACGCTGTCCCTGGATCTCGCTGCTCACAGGCTACAGCCACCTGTGAACAGGTTTTTTTATGTCCTTTGTGCTCTCTTTTGATTTTTCATTGATTCCAATTAATCTTATGTTATTTTTCTTTGCATCGTCTAGCAGTTGTTGGATTGATTTTTACCAGTCTGTTAGTTTGTTGGTTTTTTTTTTTTTGGTACTGGGGATCGAACTCAGGTCCTTGCACTTGTGAGGCAGGTGGCACAACCACTGAGCTAAATCCCCGGGCCCTGTTGGTATTTTTAAGAATTCTTTCATTTGATGATTGCTGATTGCAATTCTGTCTTCTAGATCTGATATTCTGTCTTCACATTGGTTGATACTGCCGCCTGTACTTGCAGTAGAATTTTTAATTTCCTGGATATCCCTTTGAATCTGTTTTATGGAATCCAGTTCTTTCCTGTGTTGGGCATTCATGTTTTCCATCACTTTTCTAAGCTCTTCTATTATTTTTTTCATCTGTATTTACTGTAGATTCATTAACCATGTCCTTCACTGTGGTCATCATCTCTTTGGTTATCTGCATAATTTCTGATATATTTTTTCCTAGAGAGTCATTCATCTGCTTTGGTACTTCCACTGCTACCATTTCAGAAAGTTTAGCTGGGTGATTTTAATTTCTTCTACCTCAGTGCCCCATAAATTTTCCTTGAATGAGCTGGAGGTCTAGAGTTGTATCTTGTTTTCATGTTTTCTCATTTTCTATTTTTGTTTCCTGCATTGATGCTTGTAAATTGCTTATGGTAAATGACTGCTTTTTAGAGATGTCTTCGAATTGTAGCTGGGTTTTGGATTTTTAGTTTGTCCCAAGATTCTGCCTCTTCAGTTTATTAGGGATGAGAGGTTGCTGCCTATTTGGCCTAGCACCCAGTTCTTTGGTACTGGACTGTGTTATTGTTTATCTCCCCAGACTATCTTGATATTGGCATACAAGGAAGAACAGTTGATCACAACAGCTGTGTCACCTTGACTAACAGTACAATTAATAATACTGATAGCATCAAGCACAGTGTAGAAAATGACAAACTGTGATAACTGTTAATTTGCCACTTTTAACCATAGGTATAAGATTTATAGTTATAAAACAAAATCTAAAACAAATCAGAAAATTATATTCAGTATCCACTCAATAGAGCAGTGTTACTCCCAGGGAAGAAAATTTAAAAGGGATAAAAGAAAGAAATAGAGATATAAAAGAAGAGAAAGAAATTAGGAGCAAAGCTGAAGGATAAAGGAAGATTACCTAAGCTTTGGGAAAATGTTGAAAAAGACAATTGGGAAAGAACAAAACAAAACAAAAACTAAAAATAATGTTCATACTCATGAAAAAATAAAAACAATCAAGAAAAAAAAAGCAAAGAAAAAAAAGATTTCTCTGTGGTTTCAAGCCTGTGGTTATCTTCTGGGTCTATAGTTTTATGCCGGTACCTAATTCAGAGTGTATCTCTACTGTTCCTGGTAGACAAAGGAGATAGACAGAGCTCAGATCCCTGATGGATGATCCCAGCAAGTCTGCAGTAGGATTAGGGCGGGGTTCGGATTCTGGTGCTTTCAACTCCACCGAAGTTCAGGCTGATCCTGGCCTCTGGTTGTGGGATTGGGGCCTGAGTTTTTCAGCCTCCAACACATCAGGTATCTCTTGTTGACTTGATCTCCACTCCCTGTGGTTGTCCCTTACCCAGTCACTGTGGGATTTCAATACTGGGAGCCCTGAGATCATGAAGCCAAGTCATGACTGCTCTGAATCCTAGATTCAGCTGGCCCCTCCCTAAAAGGGGCCAAGCACCCTCTCCTGAGGACACAGCAGTCACTTGGACTGGAGTCACTCACCAGCTGCTGCAGTGCACAGCATTCACTTCTCTGTTCCACTGGTACATTTCTCCATGGAGGCCTCTGGAGTCACCTGTCTTCATTGTGTCTCTGTAGATTTGATCCTCCTCTCTCATGCCATGAGCTGGGAGACGGGGTGAAAGTGCAGTTTGCACCCTCCTTTTTCTGCATTGTGGTCTGTTCATTTTCTCTGTGGGCTCCAATTTTCCCTTCAGATCCCTTCTGGGTCCTGCGGATCTACTTTTCTCCTCCTTTTCTCTCCCAAGTTGTTATTTTCCAGTGTCTGTATTCGTAATCTTAGAGAGCTTGATTTGTTGCTGTTTACCACTTTGGCATCTTCCTGAGAGTCCTCTCCTCATGTCTTTTAATGGCTTGATAGCTCATTTTGTTTTAGTCCTTGAATAATATTCATAGTCTGCATAAGCTCCAGTTTATCTGACTGATGAACATACTGGTTGCTTGCAGGGTATGGCAGTTAATAAAACTGTTGTAAACATCTGTGTGCAGGCTTTGTGTACATGTAAGTTTTCACCTCCTTAGGGTAAATGCCAAAGAGTGTGGTTTCTGGATTTTATGGTAACAGTATGTCTAGCTATGTAAGAGACTGCCACACTGTCTCCCAAAAAGGCTCTACTGTTTTGTATTCCTACCAGAAATGAGTGAAGTTCTTGTTGTTACACATCTCTCCAGCACATGCTGTCATCAGTGTTCTCTTTTTTGGCCATTTTAATAGGTATGTAGTGGTATCTCCTTGTTTTAATATTCAGTTCCCTAATGACACTTGATGCAGTGCATTTTTCATGTGCTTATTTGGCATCTGTGTATCTCCATTTGGTTTGAGGTATCTTTTCAGATCTTTTGCCCCTTTTTTTCAGTCATTTGTTTTCTTTTGTTGAATTTCTTTTCTATGTTGAGTAACAGTCCTTTTTCAAATTGGTGTTTTGCAAGTATTTTCTCCCAGTCTGTAACTTGTGTCATTCTCTTTACAGTGTCTTTTGCAGAGCAGAGCTTTAAAATTTTAATGAAGTCTAGTTTATTAATTTTTTTCGTGGATCATACAAGTGATATTATATCTAGAAAGTCATCACCATACACAAGGTCATCTAGATTTTGTCCTATGTTATATCTAGGAGTTGTATAGTTTTATGTTTTAAAATTAGGCCCATAGCCAGGTGTGGTGGCACATGCCTTAATCCTAGCACTCGGGAGGCTGAGGCAGGAGGATCCTTGTGAGTTTGAGGTAGCCTGGGCTACAAAGTGAGTTCAAGGCCAGCCTGAACTGCATTGTGAAACTCTCTCAAAAAACAAAAAGAAAACAAAACCAAACAAAAAATTAGGCTTATGATCCATTTAGAGGTAATTTTTGTGAAAGGTGTAAGATGCATGTTTTGTGTGTCTATGTGGATTTTTTTGCACGTGGATGTCCAGTTCTTCTAGTACCATTAGTTGAAGACTGTCTTTTCTCCATTGAATTGCCTTTTTGGCAATATTTATGTGGGTCTGTTCATAGGTGCTTTGTATCCTACTGATTTGTCTGTTTTTTCACTAGTACCCCACTGCCTTGATCACTGTAGATTTATAATAAATCTTGAAGTTAGGTAGTATCAGTTCTCCAACTTTGTTTTTATTTAAAACAAAGAATTTACAGTCTTTCATAATCATTCACAGTCTTGTTTCTAAATAAACTGTAGGGCTGGGGATTTAGCTCAGTGGTTCTGGCACGTGCCTTGCAAGTGCAGGGTCTCAAGTTCGATCCCCAGTACCCCCCCGCAAAAAAACCCAAAAAAACCCCTGTAGAATCAGTTTGTCAGTATCCACAAAATGACTTGCTGGGAGTTTGGTTGGGATTGGATTGAAACTAAAGATCAAGTAGGAAAGAACGGTCTTATTGACACTATTTAACTTTCCTGTTTATGAATGTGGAATATCTTTTAATTTGTTTAGTTTTATTTTGATTTCTTTCATCAGAGGTTTGTAGTTTTTCTCATATCAGTCTAAAACATTTTTTTAGGTTTATATCTAATTGTTTCTTTCTTTCTTTTTTTTTTTTGGTACTGGGGATTGAACTTGGGTTCTTGCGCTTGCGCAGCAGGTAGTGAAACCACTGAGATAAATCCCTGGGCTAATTTTTTCATTTTGGTCGTACAAATATAAGTGGTATTATGTTTTAATTTTTATTTTAAAATTATTTTTTAATCTTTTAATTTGAAATTCCACTGGTTCATTGCTAGTATACAGGAAAGTGATAAAACTTTTGTATACTGCGTTAACCTTCTATCCTGTAACCTTGCCAGAATTGCTGATTAGTTCCAGAAAAAAAATTTTTTTAGTCACTTCTTTTGGACTTTCTTCATAGACAGTCATGTTATCCTTGAACAAAGACAATTGATATCTTGCCTCCCAATCTGTGTACCTTTCATTTCCTTTTTCCTTCACATTTTTGACTTCTGTAGTTTTCCAGTATTGGCTACTTGTCTTGACACTGCTGTGTTCACTGTGAGGTTACCTGTGAATAAAGAGAATAAAGAAGGAGAGGGAAAAGTTTGAGGGGTTTCTCTCACTTGCTTTGTGATCCAATTCTCTTGGAGCAGAACTAGAGGGTTTCTCCTGGATTTTTCTGGGTGTACCACAGTGCCCAGTTTGAAGGTCCTTGCATTGTGGAGTTCAGGCCCAGAGATACAAGAGGGGAAAATGGTAAACTTACCACCTGTTCAGCGGTCTTCATGATTATTTTTATTTTTATTTTTTAATTTATTTTATTTTATTTTTTTTGGTACCAGGGATCAAACTCGGGTCCTTGCGCTTGCAGGGCAGGCAGCAGAACCACTGAGCTAAATCCTCGACCCAATTTTGTTTTTTTTTGTTTTTTTTTGATTTGGTACCAGGGATCGAACTCGGGTCCTTTCCATGATTGTTTTTAAAAGAACTAGTTGTAGCCTTATGCTATAGCTCCAAATTTTGAGAATTTTTAAATACTATGAATAGTTTTACAAACTGTAGAGAATATTGTTATATGAATATAATTTTCTAAAGTAGTTAAAACATTAGATGTATTATCTGAAATGTTAGCATCAAATTCTGTAGTTGAACTGTCTTAATTTTTATGCAGTGGAATAAAGTTTCTGAAGTCAGTAGGGGAAAATTTAGAATACATAAAAATTTCTGAACAGAGATACCATGGGTGGAGAACAGCATACAGTTCTGAGGAAGCTCACATAACTAGTTTTTTTCTTCATATTGGAAATAATTACTTTTTATTAGTTGAACCCAGGACCTTTGCATGAGTACATCCCCAGCCCTTTTCCCATTTTTTATTTTGAGTCAAGGTCTCGCTAAGTCAGTAAGTTGCCCAGGTTGGGTTGAACTTTTTTTTTTGGTACCGGGGATCAAACTCGGGGACCTTGCACTTGCAAGGCAGGTGGTGGAACCACTGAGCTAAATCCTGGCCCCTTCCCAAACTTTCTTAAAGGGCTAGATTGTAAATATTTTAGACATGCAGGCCAGATGCTTTCTATGGCATCTACTCCAGCCTGCTATTGTAGTGTGAAAGCAGTCTTAGACAATACAGAAATGGATTGGCATGGCTGTGTTCCAGTAAAACTTTATTTGCAAAAATAGATGGCAAGATAGCTATGCCCAAGGTAGTGTAACTTGTATAGTTTGCCAGCCCCTGCTTTAGGTGATCTCTTGCCACCAGTGCCACTACTAATGACACAGATGTGGGTCCTGAAATTGCTTGGCAGTACTTGTAGTATGGTGATCCGGATGAGTCAGAGTATATTTATATTGTTTTAATCTGGAAATGAAAACAAAATTTAGAAAATTGTCATGAAGAATGTATGATAAAAAGAACTAATAAAAGTAGAGAAGGATATAATGAATGAGATATATTATAAAAGACATTATGGTATACTGTTTCAGTCTGTACTCATCATTTAAATTTGTATTATCTAGTGAGACACCAAGACTGGGAGGAGTGAGCAAGCTTTTCAATATTATTTTTCCTTTATGATTGTATGCTACTAGAACCATTCTTTGTTTTTTCTCTCTAGGAACCAGATTTTAATAGAGTTTTGCTGGTTTTGATTGCTTGTTCTTTGGCTTATTTTCTGTTTAGTGTTTTTTTTTTTTTTTTTGTAGTCCAGGCTGACCTTGCACTCACTGAACTCGCAATAATCCTCCCACCTCAGCCTCCTGAGTGCTGAGATTATAGGCACGCTCTACAATCTGTGTAGAATTCTTTTGACTTGGGGTAAAGTATTAATTACATTGTGTGTACTGAAGTCAGCTGGTAACATTTCAGTGACTGGGAAATAGGCCAGTCTTTTTTTGGTATTGGGGATTGAACACGGGCTCATGTATATTAGGCATGCACTCTCCCTTTGAGCTACATCGCAGCTTGAAAGAAAGAACCAGTCTTAATGATTAAAATATTAATTGTGGAATGTTGAAGAATATTTTAACTAAACCTTTTATAACTTGGCATCTTGCTTTAATGGATGTGACATTCATGTAGTTGTCATTTAATTTGTGATTATAGCATATTTAAGGATGGTTTATAATAGTTTAATCTACAATAATCATATTTGAGAATAATTTACAACAGTTTAATCTATTTAGGCAAATTACCAGGTTTATGCTAATTGTCTAGATTTTTTTTCTTCTTAGAGTAACACAAATTTCAGCTGAGGAGCTAGGAATATAGCTCAGTGGTAGAGTGCTTGCCTAGCATGTACAGGCCCCTGGGTTCAATCCCCAGTATCACTTAAATTTCAGCTGAGCATGATGGCATACACCTGTAATCCCAACACTTGAGAGGCTGGGGCAGAAGAATTACTTCAAGACCAGCCTGAACTACATAGCATGACCCTGTCTCAGAAAAAAAAATTTTTGACAGAAATTGTCATAAATTTTACATCGGTAAGATCTATATAATGGACTAGTGTTCTAGCCTTTTACAAATAAAGAGTGAAAATATTCATCTGCGGGGAGTTGTGTAAGCAGTTTAATGAAAGTATTGGGATTCCACTCCACCACTTGTGAATTGTGTGCCCTTTAGCAAGTTAGTACAGTTTTCTTTTCTAGATATGTTTCATAATCTATGAAAAAGAGATGATAATAGTAATAATAATAGCATGTAGCTTTTGGGTGAGGATGAAATGAGATAATACCTGAATGCATGCAGAGGTTTTCTGTGTTTCTCTTTTTGAGATGGTGTCTTTGTGCTGCCCAAGCTGGTCTTGAGCTCCTAGGTTCAAGCCTTCTTCTCCCCTCAGCCTTCTGAGTAGCTGGTGCTGCAGGTATTTGCCACCACACAACTCAGTGCATGTAAGTTTTAGCAAAATGCTTGGCATAGCCTAAGTCTGTCAACCTAAATGACTTTACCATGTGATAGAAAAGGTACATTTAGGAGCTCTGAAGATTTGGGGGTGTTTGATTTTCTGATCAAACTGATCTTCTATTTTCATATCAGTTTTTTTCTATTTTCATGATGGTGGTGCACATCTATAATCCCAGCACTCAGGAGGCTAAGGCAGGAGGATTGAAAGTTTGAAGCCAGCTTGGGCTACTTAGACCTTGTCTCAAACACACACACACACACACACACACACACACACACACACGATCTTACCTATATCTTTAATGTATAAGTGGACTAGTTATGTATTTTATTGTAGCTTTTCCTTATATTATTTCCTAAATTATATTTAGTAACATGTTTTTACAAAATGGTGATATGGGAAATTGTGTCTCAGCTAATCCAGAACCCTGCAGAAAAAAATAATTAAGTTAGAAATAAGCCCCATATTTTCAGCACAGGTAGTGAATGTACAAGATAATTTAGTATTGGCTATGACTTTGTAAAGATGGGAAGTGGATCTGGGAATGAAGGGAGATGGGAGGGCGGAGAAGGGAAGGAAAAGTAAAAATGATTAAAATGCAATATGTATACCAGTTTTCTAAGATGAATGTAATTATGTATTACAAACTTATTCTAATAAAGAAGAAGCTCAACAGTATTTTAGAAGCTATCAAATAAAGGGACAATGGCTTGTCTTTATCTGTATCAGGCTCCCACTGTATTTTTACCAATACTGTCTTAAAATGTACACGGTCAGCCTGGCTTTCTGTACTTCTTCACAATAGAACGCTAAGCAACTTGATTGAATTGTTAAATTACATGGTGACTTACTGAGTCTTTCTTTGTCTCTAGGATGATTGAGGAAGGTGGGAACAAGCGGAAGACCATGGCGGAGAAGAGGCAGCTGTTCATAGAAATGCGTGAGTTTTCCGTGCTCCTGGGGTCCTTGTCCCTGTGTGCAGCATGTTTTTTTTTACTATTCAAGTCAGCTTTAATCAGAAATTTTGTTACAAGTTTTAGAGCAGGAAGAATGTAAGTTAAAACAAAAGATGGCAGGGCCGGGGATTTAGCTCAGTGGTTCCAGCACCTGCCGCGCAAGCGCAAGGTCCAGAGTTCGATCCCGGTACCAAAAACAAACAAACAAACAAACAAAAAAAAGATGGCAGAGAGGAATGGGTTGGTTCCCAGTATTTGAAGGATTGGTTTTTTTTTGGTTTTTTTTTTGGTACTGGGGATCGAACTCGGGTCCTTGCACTTGCGCAACAGGCGACGAAACCACTGAGCTGAATACCCGGCCCAAAGTCTTAGACCCTCTTTTTCTTTTCTTTTTTTTTTTTTTTTTTTTTGTGGTACTGGGAATTGAACTCCGGTCCTTGTGCTTGCGAGGCAGGCAACAGAACCACTGGGCTAAATCCCCGGCCCTTGAAGGATTGTTTGGCTGTTTGACTGCTTGTCTTCGTGATTTTAACCACGTGACTTTGACTGTTTCATGCCTGCTGAATCTCAGATTCCTTTGGCATTCATAATATCGGGTGATTGATCTGGACCAATGATTGTGAAACCTTTTCAAAGCATATTACTTTAAGCATATACTCAATAGAGGAGTATTATAAAATTAATGCTGTGTGGTTTTAGCAGAAGAATGGAAGCAGATAGCCAGTTTTGGATAACCCTGAACTCCTTGAAGAGTTCTAGAATTCTGCATATAACAGCATGAAAATCAATGGATAAAGTCCCAAAAGACACTTTCAACATCTCCAACTTTTTTTTTTTGTACCGGGAATCGAACTTGGGACCTTGCTCTTGCGAGGCAGGTGCCAGAACCACTGAGCTAAATCCCTGGCCATTTTTTTTTTTTTTTTGGTACCAGGGATTGATCTTGGGTCCTTGCGCTTGCGAGGCAGGCAGCAGAACCATGAGCTAAATCCCTGGCAACATTTTTTTAATTCTGTAGAAACTTAGTCATGGGAGACAGAATTTGGCTCAATTCAGATCTGTGTTGTCCTGTCAAGTTTGGCTGGACAACTATTTGTTAGGGATGGCAGAGAAGAAATATTGTCACTGTCTGGATAATGGCTTGGTGATCCTTAAGGACTTTTGTAGTTTCTATTCTCTTAATTGCCAGTCATCCAAGCAAGATACTTTTTCCACTTCACCTTCCTCCAAAAAACAAAAAACAAAAACCAAAAAAATTCACAAAGCATAGCTGAATTTTACTTGTAAGTGAGTCTTGAGTCTGTTCCTCTGATTACAGTGTGTTGAGTCCAGGCTCTGAGGTTAGACTCCCTCGATTGGATCTTGGGTCCCTCACTAGGTATATAACCTTAGGCAAATTACTTAATCTTTCTCTGCCTCAGTTTCCTCATCCATAAAATAGAATAGTTCTGACTTCATAGAATTATTGTGAAGATTAAATAACATAATTTGAGTAAAGCACTTTGCACAGTGCCTAATGCAGAACAGTAAAATGGTTAACTATATGTTAAATTTTTAAGTTACTGTTACTTTTCTGAACTAAAGCAGTAAGTTTCTGATACCTTCATCCAATTGGCACTCTCAAATCTGCTATCTGTGTGCTAGATTGAATCATATGACACCATGCTACTTATTTGCTTAAATCTCTTCAGTTTGCTCCTTATCACTTTGATAATGCCTTAGGCCTCTTTTGTTTCTTATGTTCCCCATTTCTATCACATGCCTTGTGGGTTAGTCAGCTTTTTGTCACTATAACAAAATATCTGAGATCATCAACTTTTAAAGAAAAAAGGGCAGTTTTGGAGGTTACAGTCTATGGTTGATTGTTTCTTTTGGGTCTGTGTCGAGGTAGCACATCATGGTGTGTGGGTGATGGAGCACAGCTGCTCACCTTATGGCAGCAATACAAAAGAGAAAGAAGAAGGCACTGACATTCCACTGTCCCCTTTGAGGCCATGCGTCTACCTTCCAGTAATGCCAAACTTACAGCTATGGGCCTTGCAGGAACATTTAAGATCTTGTAACACCTTGCATGCCATTTCTCAATAATACTGTGTTGACTTTCCTGGAGACAGGTCATGTTGTTTTCGTATCTTTGTGCCTTTGCTAGTTCCATTGCTTCCCCCTTCATCTGGCAGACTGCGCCTGACTGCCCTTAAGGATTCAAGGGATCATTTTGCCATTCAATTTTTAGCATGATAGTGGTAGTGAATCCATGGCATGCATGCTGCAGTGGACTGTTTGTTATCACTGAAAGCTCTAAAAGGTTTGCTATCACTAATTTAGAATTTACTCTTTTCTGGACACTAACAAAACGTAGTCCATGATTTTACTCATGATGCTTACATTTTAGTAAGGTAAAGCAGGTAAAATAGGAAGCCAAATAAATATTGAGAAGTGTTTGAGTGCCATATCTAAATAAACATGGGGATGTGAGAGACAGTGACTCTGAGAGATATTTGGAATAGTCCTACAAAAAGTTGGGTCTACTTCTTTGTGAATGTTATTACTCTAACAGATAAACATCATACAGATGCTTTCTTTTTTTTTTGGTACTGGGGATCGAACTTAGGACCTTGTGCTTGCGAGGCAGGCACGGTGCCACTGAGCTAAAACCTTGGCCAGATGATCTTTCTATAACAAACCGAAGGTGTCAGACGTTCTTGGAGATGTTGGGTGAGTGTGGGTTCTTGAATGTCCCATTTCTTCACAGAAAGATTTGTAATGGTCTACTATTGGAAGGCTCTGTCTCTCATTCCAAACATCATCACCCAAAACTCCAGTGTAATTACCTTCTGTCAATGCTCAATCACCTATTTTTAGACTTATCACTTAGGTGTTTCAACTAGGTGTTTTGTTGATTTTAGTATGTCAGTTTTCTTTAATTAGGTTTAATGGTTATAAGTTCTACTTGCGTAGATAAGTATACCATTTTTAATGACGATTTTTTTTTTTTTTTGGTACCAGGGATCGAACTCGGTCCTTGAGCTTGTGCAGCAGGTGGCGAAACCACTGAGCTAAATCCCCGGCCCCATGACAATTTTTTTTTTTGGTACCAGAGATCGAACTTGGAACCTTGTGCTTGCAAGGCAGGTGGCAGCACCACTGAACTAAATCCCCGGCCCTTTTAATGACAATTTTGATCTGCCTTTTGTAAACCTTACAGTCCTTTTTCTTGACTTAATGTATTAGTTGGGACCTCAGGTGTTATACTGAAGAGTAGGGAGAATGGTAGTCCTCCTTGTCTAGTTTTTTTACTTTAAAGGGAATGCTTCTAATATTGTTAATGATATTTGCTGTAGATTTTGTATTGTTTGTCAGGTTAAGGAACTTCTTTTCCAGTGTGTGAAGAGTCATTATCATTATTTTCTTTTCTATTTATTTTTTTCCGGTACCACAGATCAAACTCAGGACCTTGCACTTGTGAGAGAAGCGGTGGAACCAACTGAGTTAAATCCCCAGTCCTATCATTATTTTCTTAAATCGTGAATGACACGATGCTCAAGAACTTTTGGATTTTGTAGTTTTAGAGTAAAGACACTCATCTGTAGGTAGTCTCTTTTTCTAATTTTTTTTGGTTTACTATCTATTTTGTTGTATAGTAATATAGCTATGCCAGCTTTCTTTTGGTAAACATGCTTGGTATAGTATAACTATTTTCATGGTTTTACTTTAGAATTTTCTTTTTTTAAAAAAAAAATGTATAACTTTATTATCATGCACTAAATATACAAATATAAAAATATATGCACTAGATATACAAATATATCATGCACACACATATACAAAAATTAAAATTATTCAAAGAAAAGCAATGCAAGGGAAAAACTATAATAATATTCAAATATAGAAGAACTCAACCAAAGCAAATGTACACAAAATGAAGGGATCTCTATAGCAAACAGTTTTTCCATTCTGCTTATCAAACAGCAGCGTGTTTATTATCATGCACACACATATACAAAAATTAAAATTATTCAAAGAAAAACAATGCAAAGGAAAAACTATAATAATATTCAAATATAGAAGAACTCAACCAAAGCAAAACTGAAAAGTGCTTAAACAATTTTCCATATAATTAAAAAAAAATCTCAAGCATTAACAAGACATCAGAGGATGTGATTTGTTTTAGAAAGATTTTCAAAACTAATATTGAACAAATAGTGGTCTGGAAAAAATTCTAATTAGCTAGTAGAATCCACATAGGCCAAATTTTTTAAAATTTCAATTT